GGCCCTGATAACATCCCGTCTAAGTTCCTAAAAGATGGTGCTTCTGAACGTCAATCCCTATTTGCTCACATAAAAAATCTATCATCACCACTAATACCGTACCGGGGGGTTAAAGGGGGAGGCCAGAGTTACTCCTATCTTCAAGGAAAAAAGTAGGGTCTGATGTAAGCAACTATAGGCCGTTAGTATACTCAGTATAATATCTAAAATTTAGAGAGGGCGGGTATTCTCAAGTAAGTTAAGTACCTTAATGCAACAACATTCTCCATAGCTATCAATCGGGCTTTAGAAGATCCTACTCAACCGAACCTCCCTTATTAATCTGATGGATTACCTGAGAACTGAAATGTCAAAGGGAACCTCATAGGTATGGTAACCTTAGACCCTGCAAAAGGCCTTCGATTACTGTCAACCACAATATATTTATGTAATAAACTTCAAGCTATCGGTATAAGTTCTGTAGACTGGTTTTTAAGTCCCACCTTAGCAACAGGAGACAAAATAGTCAAAATCAACAAAACAAAATTCAGAACCCCTGCCGATAACATGTGGAGTTCCCCAAGTATTATTCTGGGTCCCTTATTATTCTTATGTTTGTATTTATATGCCTTCAGTTTTTCAAGTGCAAACTCCTACTGTATGCAGATATGACAGTGCTCTGTTAGTGTCAGGTAAAGACCCACAAGATATTGCTAATGTTTTAACATGGAACTGGAGTCCTGCAGCAAATGGTTAGTAGACAACAAACTTTCATTACACTAGGGAAAACTGAAGCCATTCTCTTTGGCACGAAACATAAACTGAGAAGGGTAAATAATTTTAATGTTCAATGTAATGGGGAGCCCATCACTTTGGTTTCATTTAAATAAAATATTTGGGATCCCCTTTGACCCTGCATGTCAGGAGAATTGATAGGGAACAGTGTAGTAAAGAAAGCGAATGCCAGGACTGAAGTTCCTGTATAGACAAGCCAGACAGAGTTACCTACGAGGCTCGCAGGACCCTATGTCTAGACCCTTTTACAATACATATGGATTACGCTTGCTCTTCTTGGGTACTCTGCTTGACAAAAAACTGAAAGATGAATAGATATGACTGCAAATCACCCAGAACAAAATCGGATGATTCATCCTGGGGATGGGGACCAAGAGAACATTGTAGGCCAGGAGATGAATTACAGCAGTTTGGATATGCTGAATTGTTGAGACAGAGTAAAACACTGAAGCTAAAATTCAAGTTTATAAAATTGCTCACAAACAGTTGTCAGAATTTCTTGCTGTCAATTTTGTCAAGGTTGGGGGAACCAAAGCAAATCATAGTACTAGGGGGAGGAGAGCACAACTTTGTGTACCCACAGTTAGTGACCAGGCTTCAAAAACACCTTTTATTGTACAGAATAAAGGAATGAAACAGGACCTGCCCGCACATGTCAAAGCAGTCATAGCATGAACCAGTTCAAGAAGTGTGCACCAAAAGGTGTTGATGAATGTAGCTACAGAAAGGGGGGGAATGATTTTCTATTTTGTTAGCTAACATACGTGTAATTTTTTACCTTATTCTAGCATAGTAATGACCCCGTATTTTAGATAGTCTTAATGACCTTGGTTGAAGTAGATGTCTTTTTAGTATGATAATAGATGTTTTCCATCATTGTAGAAATATAAGAAAATATTATAACCTTTATATTATAATAATAAGGTAAAGGACCCCAATGGAAATAAGTCACTTTGTCTGACTTTTTTGAGTTATCCCAGGTTCTCTACACATATGCTGCTATGTATGAAAATTCTATGTAACTGTATTTGTGTATACCTGAATAAACTTACTTACTTACTTACTTGCAACTCTCCAATACTCTCCTTCAGCAACGTAACACCTGTCTACACTCTCCAACTGACCTTCAGTCATGGCTAACACCTGCTGCCACTTTACAACTGATCTTCAGGCAAAACTAATACCTACTGCCACTCTCCAACTGACTTTAGGCAAAATTAACACCTGCTGCCACTCTCCAACTAATCTTCAGCCATGGCTAACACCTGCTGCAACTCACCAACTGAACTTCAGGCAAAGGCTAAAACCTGCTGCAACTCACCAACTGACATTCATGCAAGGTTAACACCTGCTTCCAATTCTCCAACTGTACTTCAGGCATGGCTAACACCTGCTGCAACTCACCAACTGAACATTCACGAAGGGTTAAACACCTGCTGCATCTCACCAAATGACCTTCCGGCAAGGCTATTACCAACTGCAATTCACCAATGACTCATTCAGGCTAGGCTAACACTGCTGCAATCAGAACTGACCTTCAGGCCAATTGCTACACCAGCTGAAAACTCATCAATTACCCTTTAGGCAAGGCTAACACCTGCTGCAACGCTCCAACTGACATTTCAGGGTAGGTACACCTTGCTGCCAAATCACCAACTGAATTCAGGCATGGTCTAACACTTGCTGCAACTCACCAACTGACATTCTGCTAGGCTAACACCTGCTGAACTCTACAAACTGACCATTCCGGCATGTCTAACAGCTGCTTGAACTCACCAACTGGCATTCAGGCAAGGCTAACCACCCCTGTGCAACTCCCAATGACATTTCAGGCAAGGCTAACACCATGCATGCCGCTCTCTCCCAACTGACCTACAGTCAAAGCTCACTCATAGCTGCAACTCATCAACTTAACTTCAGGCAAAAGCTAACACCTGCGGGCACTCTCCAACTGACTTTCAGGCAAAGCTAACACCTGCTGGCAATCTCCAACTGACTTACAGTCAATGCTACACCTGTTCCACCTCCAACTGACTTCAGGAAAGGCTAACACCTGCTGCCACTCTCCAACTGACCTTTCAAGGCAAAGCTCATTACCAGCTGCCACTCCAACTGGCCTTCAGGCAAGGCTAACACCTGCTGCTGCCACTCACCAACTGGAAACTTCATGGCAAGTTAAACCTGCTGCCACCCTCAACTGACCCTCAGGCAAAGCT